CAGTCAAAACCATCACAGTTACTGTTGGAATAATCCACCTGCCCAGCACAATAGTAAAAGACACAGCAAGCAGCTCCCCCAACACAACTCTGCCTGGCTGAATCTGAACTTCACACAGAATCTTAAGAGAAGCCCTAATCGTGCGGGATGGGAGGAGTGTGTCAACAGTAGACCGAGGACCAAACATGGTGGCCTCTTAGGATCTGTATTGCAAATCATAGTGCCCCAAATTAGAGAGTAAGGAGGATTGTACCTGCCACGGAGGCAAGGAGTGGGATGGGGTGAGGGTGGCGAGTGGGACACTGGAAACAATGGTGGTGGGAAATGTGCACTGGTGGAGGGATGGGTGCTTGAGCATTGTACAACTGAAAATAACCATGCAAGTTTGTAACTGTATCTCACGGTGTTCCAATAAAATTTATTGAAAAAAGGGATTGGAGCGATAGCACAGTGGGTAGGGCATTTGCCTTACACGTGGCTGTTCTGTCACTGTCCTCCCGTTGTTCATCAATTTGCTCGAGCGTTCCCAGTAACATCTCCATTGGGAGACTTTGTTGTTACTGTGTTTGGCATATCGAATACGTCACGGGGAGCTTGCCAGGCTCTGCCGTGCGGGCGAGATACTCTCGGTAGCTTGCCGGGCTCTCCGAGAGGGGCAGAGGAATAGAACTCGGGTCGGCCATGTTGGCTGCGTGCAAGGCAAACGCCCTACCACTGTGCTATCGCTCCAATCCCTTTTTTCAATAAATTTTATTGGAACACCGTGAGATACAGTTACAAACTTGCATGATTATTGCCTTGCACAGGGCTGACCTAGGTTCAATTCCCAGCATCCCATATGGTCTCCCCTGAATACCGCCAGGAGTAACCCCTGAGCATCGCTGGGTGTGGCCCAAAAAGCAAAAAAAAAAAAAAAAAAAAAAAAAAGCCCTAGTACATAGTACAGTGGTGCTTGCCTTGCACAGTTCTGTCCCTGGCACCCTATATGGTACCTCCAGCCTGAATGCAGAACGAGGAAGCCCTGAGCACAGCCAGGTGTTGTCCCAAAACCAAGGAGGGGGTTGCGAAGGGGGGATGGGGGTGGCAGGTTGGTTGTCAGCGTTTTAGAGGAAAAACTATGATAAAGTTTAAGGGTTTTTTTTTTTAATCTTTTTGTGTTACTTTTGTTTCTGATCAAGGAACTAATTAATCCAGTCTTAGTTCAAAGAGTCGCTGGTCCATTTTAATACCAAAAGCTGTAGTTGGTGCATGTTACGAAGCTGCTAATAAAGTCATTTAAAAAAAGAGGCAGCTCAGGATGGGTTAGCACCCAAGTGTTGGTCCTGAAAGCACAAAATCTCAGGCTTAACCCCTGATGTGAACCACCCACTGACGGGGTCTGTCCCTGGGACTCTGTGTCCCCCTGCCAGCAAGGTCAGGTGTGTGGACACCATGGCCAGGAGGCAATCTCCGGCAGGATGTGGGGTGCGAACACTGCCGCCGCCAGGGTGCGTGCCCCCACCGAACACCAGGATCCAGGGTGTGTGCAAGTCCCGGTCAGCAGAGCAGAGGGAGAGAAGCTGGCAGGTCCACTGTGGCCGGCGAGTCCACTGTGGAGCGCTCACCCGCCTGCACCGCAGCACACCTCCTGTCCTGCAGGCACCCCTCTCCCCGGAACAAGGGTTTCACCCACCCCTTCCTAGTTCGTGTTTTGGGGTCACACCTTGGCCAGTGCTGGGGAGTCCCTCTTGGTGACATGACGCTTTGGGGGCCCTGTGGCACCCAGGGTGGAACTGGGGCCCACTGAGCTTTCCCCCCCAGCACCTCTTCCACACCCGCTCATGAAGGGCATCTGCAGAGACCTTATGGTACAATCACGTATTATTTACTGCCTTTGTAAGAATTTTTTTTTATTATTTAGAAATGCAGTTATATACATAGAACAATTAAAATTAAATTAAACTTTGTACAAATATTAAAATACTATCTTCACACCCACTGCAATGTACAGGATACCAAAAAAAAATACATATATAAAATAAAATAAAGCAAACCCAAACTGATCGAGTGACATCCTGCACAGTCGAGGCCGCATGTGTCGTTTCCATGACGCGAGTACCATTCCGCCAAGGATTCCAAGGTGGCGGGGAAGCAGCCAGGGCAGGGTGGGGCGCACTGCCACGGAAAACCTCGTCCATCGCTCCCTCCTCCCTCCTCGGCAAGCTTTGCCACTGCATCCCCTCCAGCAGCTGTTGCTGCCTGGAGGGAGGGGGTGGGGGGCGACCTTGGCATTTCCCTTTACGTTCTGACTTGGTTTTCAACTGGACATGTAGAGCAAAGCCAAGCCTGCTGCCATTCTCTGGGAAACCAGCGGCTGTCCTGTCCACCTGAACCTCTGTCCACCCCACCAAGCAAAACCCCTCTCTCAGCTCTCCCCACCCCCCGGCCCCCCCAACTTCCCGGCACCGGGTACCAGCTACTCTGCCGAGGGCCAGGAGCCCCAGCAGGCAGCTCTCAGCCTCAGCATCCCAGCATCTTCACATCTGCTGGAACCAAGCCGCAAGGCCGGTCCGTGTAACCACTCCCCTTCTGCCCCCGTCGTTCTTTCTGAGGAGGAAATCAAAGGCAAGGATGGAGACGTATCTGCAGCATTTTCCATTCTCTTGGTAAGGACATTCCCTGGGAATGGAAGTGGCATGGTTATGTGGGAAGCAAGTGGTCTGAGAGCGCAGCTGGGTGTGGTTGGGAGGGCAAGAGCGGAGGGTTATCCGTCCGCGACTAATGAAGCAGGAAGAGTATACCTTTGTCTTGCCACTGGCTTTGCCACAGAACTGTAAAGCTGGGGCTGGGAGAGAGGGGAAGGGCGCGAGGTACGGGGGAAGACATTAGTTTTCAGTCGGCTGCAAATGGAGTGTTAAGTAGGACGCGAGCTTGAAATGCCTTATAAAACTGAGAGGACTCTAAGTGCCAGCACTCGGTCCATTTCACGGTTCACACCCGGTGAAATGGGAATGTAACACACAATTCGAGAGGGAGCAAAAGCGAGAGCCTAAACAAAGTAAGGCATTGGGAGGGATGGAGATTCCAAGTGATTTTCACCATAGGCTGGCCCTTGGAAGCTGCTGGAATGGGACTCCAAGGGGCCAGGGTAGAACACGTCGCCGAGTCGGCTCCTGTGTGCAAATACCTTGCCAGTCCTTTGGTGCCGACCAGGATGAGCTGACTGCTGGGCTGTGCAGTGAGCCTGGCCCCACCTGCCACCACACTGTCCCTCCACCAGGCCGGACCTCAAGGCGGCTGTGTGGCTCCTAATCCCCTGCCAGGGAAGCCAGAAGCCCTAGAAACAGTAGCACATGGCCGATGGCTAAGAAACTGCCTCAGAGCAAAGGGCCGTAAGAGCCAGCGAGCCGCCAACCATCACAGGAGGCTGGGGGGTGGGGGTGGGGGGCAGGGACCTCATCAAAGCCAGTGAAGGGGTGGGGTTTGGAGGCTCTTCCCTTCCTTCCAAGCAGGCGAGCTGGGCCTGTGCCCCAGGGGGCTGGGGGACTGGTGGGAGGGAGGGATGGCTTCCGAAGGAAGATTTTTTTAAAAAAATTTTTTAAAATTTCTTCCCGGGCCAAGCCTATGTGGCTGAGGGAGCCCAAAGCAAAAAGTGCAATCTCTTCAGGGGGAAAAAAAATAAACAAAACAAACCCAAACCAAACTAACAACAAAATCCAGAGTAGTGAAGGGAAATAAAGGCAAGCGCTTCCCGAATGAAAAGTACTCTAGAATGGAGCCGGGACTCAGAAGGTCAGAAGCCGAAAGCCGTAGGGGGTTGGTGGTGGGACACGCTGGACTGCCCTCTCCCGGGCTTTTGTCCCCGCTTTCTTGGTTCAGAAAAACCAACCAGGGTCCCCGCGGGGGGGAACGGGAGCTCATGTCCGGGGGTCAGCGACTGCAGGGACGTCTCAGAAAAGGGCCTCCCCTGGGTCAAGGGCAGGGCCCCCTCCTGGCTGGGGCACGGTGCCCCTCTCGGCAGGGCCTCCACTGACCTGATCCCTGTGGAAGTACACTGCTCTGGTCTTTGGGCACAGCACGTGAGGGCCCCTGGGGGCACCGGCCCTACTTACCCTGAGAGGAAGACCAACGCGCATGACAGCAAGAGGCCTGGGGACAGCGGGGATTAAAGTGCGAGAGTCAGGGCAGGGAGCGGAGGGGGAAGCTGCCCTCGCCCGGGGCCCCACACTCCGGCACGCCCCATCCTTGGGAGATCCTGGCTGGGTGCCCCTCAGTCCCGGGGAGCCCTCTGCTGGGGCAGGAGCCTTGGGGGCGCCAAGTCTGCTCCTCCACCCCCTGCTGCTCGGGGGTGGGCAGGGAGACTCGGGAGTCATGTGACTGGCAGTAGCGCCATGCACAGCGGGCGGGCGGGGCGAGCAGAAATGGTGGTGGTGGCGGCGGCGGCAGCAGCAGCTGGGCAAGCAGGCGCCTCCTGGGCACAGGGACTAAGGCACAGACTGTGAGCGGGGGCCCTCGTGGGGGGCTGGAGCTGCCTGCAGCTGTCTGTCGTGGGCCTCGGGATGTACCTCTCGGGTCCCCACCCTCCCCGACCATCCCTCTTGCTGTGATCGCCAGGGCACCCCGGGCATTCTGTGGCATCTCAGCAGCTCCCCCGACCCCACGGGCAGCCTTCTGCAGAGACACCCCCCCCACCCCCCCGTGTTGCAGGGAAGCGGAAAATAACCCAGGCTGGAAGAAGTGAGGAAGACAGTCATGGTCAGCATCCGCCGCGGGGCCACCTGCGCCCCCTCCCTCAGGAGTTTCTATTTGTCTCGGAAATTGAACAGAGCCGGGAGCCAGCATCCCTGAGCCGGGGAGCGGGTGCCTGCGGGGCTCCAACGGAACCTTTCACAGATGCCCCCTCGGCCGAGGCGGGACCCCAGGCCGAGGACCCTGGTGCGGGACCCAGGCGTGTGGACCCTGGTGCCGGACATTCCTGGACCTGCTCCTGCCGCCTGGCAGGTGCCAGATCGCCACAGAACATGGCCCGACTGACAGAGGGGGCAGGGGGCAGAGAGGCAGCCACAAGCCTGCGTGACGGGGACGTGGGGCGGGGCTGGGGGGAAAGGCACAAGTAAACACAGCGGCTCTCAGGCCCGCGTGGGCTGGGGGGCGGGGGGCGCTGCCGAGAGCTGGCCGGAGGGGACCCGGAGGGTGCGGGGACAGGGAGGCTTCAATCCAGCACGTTCAGGCGTATCCCCAACACAGACGGGAAGGCTGGGCCAGGCAGAGCGCCACCTCCTCCAGCTGTCCGGCGGGCGGATGGCGAGAATCTTCCTTGAGTTTCCAGCGAGGCGGGCCTGCAGGCCCTCTGCGATACACAGATAGACAGATACGGAGGCGGCAGCTCAGGTATCCAGAGAAGGTGGCCAGAGGTCGGGGCGCTCAGCCCCGCAGGGAGAGGGAGGAGGGGCGGAGCGGAGGGGCCCGCCACCACCCTCACGCTTCTTTCAACAGCGGGATGTCTGCAGAGGAAGAAAGAAAGCACCGCTGTTAGGTCCGGGGGGCGGGGGGGGGGGGGCACTGGCCAACGCCAACAACGCCCCACTCTGACTCGTCTTCATGTCTACACAGTCTCGTGTTGAGCTTCTCTGCGAATGCCTTCCTGGTCCCTCTCAGCTCCAATCCCAGAGTTCAGTCTGAGAACCCAACGCCTCCCGGTCCAGGCAACCCACACCAGCCTCTCTGCCCTGATTCAGTGGGTCTGCTGGCTCTCTCTCCAGGATTCCTGCCACCCGACACAGCTGCGGGAGCTGCCAAGTCCTGCATACACTCTCTCCTCCTGACAGCCACCCTCACGCTGGGGGTTCACTTCCCCCTCTAGGTCAGAGTCTCCTGGAGTGTCGGTGGGGGTAAACTGAAGCGTGCAAGGTTTTGAACTCTACTGCCACGCCAGAGAGCTCAGGCATGGCCGGCAACACACCTACTGACCTGTGTCATAGCTGGAACCCCTGTTCTGACATGGACCCTGCAACTGGACATGCATCAGTGTGTGTGTGTGGACAGTACTCGACTACTGGCACCAACCACACTGGAAACTGCGTTAACCACTGAGTGCCTCCTTCCAGTTCTATTTCCCACCAAGAAAGAAGTCAGTGTGAGGCTGGCAATCAGAAAACTCCTTGAGCAGCATCCAAATCAAGGATTCAAACCTGAAGGCATTCACTACTCCTGGGCTTCTCAGGAAGCAATTTGCTGGAAGATTCCTTTAGGGGGTAGGTTAACTGAGTGAAGCCCTCCCTACCTAAAATGAAACACTGAGGTTCCATTTGCAACCTGAACCACCCTGGCATTTCATATGATCTTAAAGTTATTTTGGGGGCAACATCTGACAATATTTAAGAATTATTCCCACCTCCCCTCCATGCTTGGGGGAGGGTGTCACTCCCTGGCGGTGCTCGGGGGACCGTGACAAAGGGGTGTGTGCTTTGGCTTTTGGGGCCAGATCCAGAGGTGCTCAGGGCTACTCCTAGCTCAGTGCTTGGGGAGCACGTGGAGCCAGGGATTGAACCCTGGCCCCAAACATGCCAAGCCTGGAAACTGGCCCTAAAGACATTTTTTTTCTTTTTGGGTTACACCCAGCCATGCACAAGGGTTACTCCTGGCTCTGCACTCAGGAATTACTCCTGGCAGTGCTCAGGGGACCATACGGGATGCTGGGAATCGAACCCGGGTCAGCCACTTGCAAGGCAAATGCCCTACCCCATATGGTATCGCTCCAGCCCCCTAAAGACTTTTTTTTTTTTAGTGAGCGCCTCTGACCCAACCTTCACCTTCCTGGGCTCTGGCAAAGGTAGGAGTCAGGGGATGTGAGATTCATTCTGATTTTTTTTTTTTTTTGCCACAAAGACCGACAGTGCCCAGGGAGGCTGCATGGCCCTGGTGCTGGAGTCAGTCCCAGCTCAGCTGCTTACAGAGGGCATGCATTAACACCGACCTCGGGGGCCTGAGACGGGGCAAGAAAACCAACGGGAACAGGGACTGGCCTCCCTCTGAATGCGCAGCAAGAGAAACAGTTCTCCCTGCTCTGTGACATGGTCCCGTGACCCTCCGGTCCCTCCTGTCCCTTACAGAACACAGGGACTGTGGTGAGAGGGCAAGCCCAACTCTACCTACTCTCTGAGAAGCCCCCCCCAACCCCCCCCCCTCCCCCCCCCCCGCCTGAGACTGAATGAGGAAGAGTCTCCCAGTAACACAGGCCACACGGCCCAGTTGTGAAGCCTGAATGGGAAATCTCCCTTTACAAGCTAGTCGCCCTGGGACCCTCCCCCACTCCTACCCCCCCACCCCAACACAGCCCTCGTTAGGGAGGTCCACCCACCTTCCTCCCTCCCTCCCAGAGCTGCTCGTGATTCACGATCAGCCCAGACCACCTACCATCTGTGTAGTCCTCTGACGTGAGGGATAAAAGGCTTTGTATGTCGCTATTCTCTGAATCTGGGACTTCTTTGTGTGCCGGTCGGCTGTTCCCTGAGCCGGCCACCCAAGAAGAGGTGGCCGCCTGGTGCACCATCACAGTCTCTGAGCCCCGCGAGCCCCAGGCTTCACAGAGTCCGGACTGGCCCGGGGCCTCCTCTTCGCCGCCCACTGAGGAACAGGCCCCCGGCTCCTGCAGCGGCTGCTCCCGGGGCACATGCCTCCCGCTGGGCCCGGACCCTTCCGACAGCACAATCTGCACGCGAGGGTCAGCGGGCGGCACGCAGTGGCCCGAGCTGCCGTACACGGCTTCCTCGTAGGACGGCAGTGCGACCTGGACTCCATCCACCATGATTGAGACCTGGTCCCCGGACACTCCCTGGTCACGCCTGGGTTGGGGGGAGGAAAACCAGAGAAGCGTTCAAGAGAGATGAGCAAATACTGTTGCATCAACAAGCTGCTGTTTTTGACCAGAGCACCCAGAGCTTTAGACACTTGACCCCACTGACTCCCCTGTCACCTGAACCTTCTCACATCCTGATGAACCAGAACTAGGGACGAGACTCAGAGAAGCCAAGTGACTGGTCTGGACATACAGTTGCAGGAAGCGGAGGCTGGGCATGAACGCAGCCCTGCCTGCTCCCAGCGATTCTGGAAGGCTATCACTGCCCTCTGGGAACACGGGAGCCTAAGCCCTCAGCCTTCTGCAGGAAAGAGGAACTGAGAGCCTTGGAAATAAAGCAGCGAGAGGATGATGGTTGCACTCAGCAGTCAATGAGCTATGATCACTGACGGAACATTTTAGGGAAGTATACTGTAAGGTGTGTGGACTGGAGTTCTAGAAAGCTGCTTAACAAGAAGGCGAAGGGGGGACGGAGCGACAGAACAGTGGCTTGGGCATTTGTCTTGTGCCTGGTCGAACCAGATTCTATCCCTGGCATCCCATATGGTCCCTCGAGCACCTCCAGGCATGATCCCGGAGTGCAGAGCCAGGAGTAAGTCCTGAGCATCACTGGGTGTGCCCCCACCCCTACCGCCCAGCCAAAGAAGGTGAGGAGCTGGAGAGATGGCCTGGCAGGTAAGGCTCTTGCCTTGCAACTGCCCAACTTGGCCTCAATTCCTGGCGCCACATAAGGTAGTCCAAACTCTGCTAGGAGTAGGCCCTGTGCACAGAGCCAGGAGTAAGCCCTGAGCACTGCCAGGCGTGGCCCCCAAACCATAAACATTAAAATAAGAACACTAAAAGAAGGTGAGGGGGAAAAGCAGCACTACAGTGTTGTAACTGGTAGAAGGAGCAAAAAGAATTTGCGATTTCTAGGTAGCCACAAGGGGAGAAAACTCCCTAATTCAGAACAAATTTCTAATACGTAGCGTGGCGCTACGTGAAAACAGCTGTTCGCTATCAATCTATTATTTTTATTGTGCTCACACCTGAGGGTACTCCGGAGCTTGGTGCTCTAGGTTCACTGGTGGCAGGAGCTCAGAGGAGCATGTGTAAATAGTCCCCTCCCCCTCCTTTCAAATCCTTTTTATTCAACTAAGTATTTAACCATCTGAAAAATGCTGCTACCCTCTCCTTCAAACAAAATGAGAAGGGAAAATCACATATGATACAGTGTGATTAAATGTGGCCAGATCCTTATAAATTCCAAGTCAGGGAGACTGTTTCATTAGTTCTTTTGTGTCTATGAAAACAGTGATGATGAAGGGTCGTGGGTAAACTTTTATCCTCAAAGCTAGTAAGACAACCTGGTCAGCTGTAGAAACCAGGAGAGACAGCCTGGAGAGAACATTCTGGGGAGCCTCTCAGGGCCCTACGAGGCTGAAACATGCCTCCCTTCTCCTCCCCCACTTCACCCACCGAGTCTGAGATGAACTGTTGTTGTTTTGTTCTAAAGAGATGATCTGTTATTACTGCACTCGGCTGGAAAGAGGAAAGCGAACCACGGGCGTCTCTGGTGTGGTGCGGAGAGTCCCGTGGCTGCCAAGCCTGGCTGCACATGAGAGGCATCTGGGGAGCTTTGCCTCCAACACCAACGCCAGGGTCCCACTTCAAAGCAAAGACACCAGAATGTCTCGGGATGAAGGGCCAAGTGCTGCTATTTAATGTTCCACAGATGCCTGACTTGCAGCTGGCACACGAGGCAGCAGAGCCCACACCTGAATCTGTATTAGAATCACCTGGCGGGCTCAGAACAGCCAAATCACGGGGCCTCAGCCCAGAGTCTCTCTCCAGTGGGTGGGGAATGCGACCGGGGATCCCCAGGTGGTGTGGCTACCGCTGCTGGAACTATACTCCGAGAACCACCCAGCAGGGGAAATGACAGGCCTAACGTGGGGCAGAGTTAGTCGACTCTCAGCGCTATGTCATCATCTTGTGAGATTCCCTTGAAGGATGTAACTTCTCTGAGCTTCTGCTTTCTGCAACTATTAAGATAAAGTAGACAAAGCAACAAGGAAGAAGTGCCAGGTATGAGAGCGGAAGCATGACAAGTGCCAGGGGGCGCCTCGTTCCCTTGGGCCCTCGGCGAGAGTCCAGCCCCCCTCACTGGACTCACCTGCTGTGATGAAAGGACTTCAGCTTGGGCTGCAGCAGCACGAAGAGCACCACGAGCAGGAGGATGAGCGCCACGGAGCTTGCGGTGGAAGCCACAATGGACAGTGTGGGGACCCCGAGAGACGTGTGCGCATCTTTGGCTGCAGGACAAGTCATCACCAGAAGGGTTTGTGCGCCCAGACCCGCTGAAACACGAACCCCACCGCAGGTTCTGTCCAAGGTCCCCTGCCTGCGGCCACAGTGAGCACATGGTGGTGGCCTGGACCCTTCCGGGAGTGACTATGCAGGAGTGACTGTGGTTGTTAGGCAGAGCCAAGAGTCATTTCCTGTTCTTGCTCCTGAACCAACATCCCCTCCCCCACTTTTGCTGAGGGTCTTTTTTTTTTTTTTTTTTTTTGCTTTTTGGGTCACACCCAGCGATGCACAGGGGTCACTCCTGGCTCTACACTCAGGAGTTACTCCCGGCAGTGCTCAGGGGACCATATGGGATGCTGGGAATCGAACCTGGGTCGGCCGCGTGCAAGGCAAACGCCCTACCCGCTGTGCTATTTCTCCAGCCCCAGCTGAGGGTCTTACAAGACCATCGGGCGTCTATACTGGAGATCTTACCTTTCTAAACCCCTCCTGACCCTGTCCTTAGTAACAGGCTGGGGAGACAGTAACCATTTAAATGAACACACCATTCTTCCACCATCTCTAGTCCCACTCATGTTTTTCCCATGTGGCAGGGAAAAAAAAATTGAAGGTAGAGTTGGGGGAGGCATGGCCAGTGGTACTCAGGGCTTACTCTTGGCTCTGTGCTCAGGAATCACTCCTGATGGGCTTGGGGCACTGTATGGGGTTGGTCACATGCATGGCAAGTACCCTACCTGCTGTGCAATGGCTCCCCCGGTGGGAGGAAAATTTATAAGAACAGGACTAGCCCCAGTTGCTTTGATGGGAAACCTCAAGCTAGTCCCCACACTCATCTGGGGGGTCATGCGTAAAGCTCTAGTGCGTGGCACAAAGATGGTTTTCGTGCGACACATATGTTCCTGTAGGCAGCTGGTTTTTCCTATCATATGTGACAAAAAAAGGAGGTCTGAGGGGGAGATGCAGCGCTGGCTGGACTCTAGCTCCTTAACAGAGGGTGTCCACTTAAGGAGAAATAGCAGAGCTACTAGGGAAGGTGTTGGCATTGTTCTCCTATGTTAGGAGAACAACATCAAAGGTCAATAGCATCTGCCAACGCAGAGCACAGACCCCCAGCATCAAAGGGACGTTACACAACAGAACAGATGCCTAAGTGAAGCCTCCCAGCCCCTTGTGGCTCTGGACACAGAGGGACATGCATCAGGACCCTTGAATGTCATTCACAAAAATGTGACATCCTGAAGAAAGAGAGGTTTCAGGGCAATCATAGGGGCTAGAGTGTCCCCACCAGGGGTGGGGAGAGGCTGGCCCCATGAGTTCAAAGTTAGCGGAACCCCACCAGCGCCCCACCCCCCTTTCTCCTCTGCCAGACTGACCCTCATTGAGACGGCAGCTGATCTCCATGGCCGGTTTCCATTCACCATTCTTACAGGTCAGGTACTTGTAATCGCCCTTCAACATGTAGCCTTCAGCACACAGGTACTCGATGACGCTGCCCGAGTTCAGGGGGTCTCGGCACGGCCGGGGGTGGCAGATGTACCCGCCATTCTCCGGCTCCGGGGGCAGGGAACACACTGCGAAGACAGAAACAGGGGAGGGAGGTGAGGGTTTGCAGTAGGAGTCCTTTCAGCGACACACAGGACCGGGCTGGAGGCCTCAACAGGAAATGTGGATGAGCCAGGCCCCGGGAAAGGCTGCTGGCCAAACCTGGGGAACTCAGGTTGTCACTGACAGAAGGGGAAGCGGGCCGTTGAGAGCAGAAGTGTGATGCTTGTGACATTTTCCCTTTCCCTTCCTGAGGAACCTGAGGAGAACTCCATCTACAATTGAGCAGAAGCCTCTGACAAACTCCCAACTACACAAAGGCCATCTCACATATAAAAGTGCCTTAATGAAACCGACGGAAGCACACCATGAGTCAGAGCGAAAGGCAGAAGGAGGCGATCAGTCTGTAATGTGATTAGGGGCGATGCCAGCCTCCGTTCCCGAATCAACAACAAAAAGGACGACATCCATGACGACGGCGAACCACCTGGGCCTCCGGCTTTCTGCTGTGTTTTCTGGAGGCCTCTTGCGACCCTGTGCAGCTGGTATGCCCTAAAGCAGTGAGAGAAGAGGGGAGCCCTGTATTTTTCAGGCAGGTACAACTATCTAGGTTGTTTGTTCATTCAAGGCCACACCCAGTGATGCTCAGGGGTTACTCCTGGCTCTTCACTCAGGGACCACTCCTAGCGCTGCCCAGGGTGCTGGGGATCGAACCCGGGTCAGAAGCGTGCAAGTCAAGTGTCCTGCCCGTGGTACAGTCTCTCTCGCCCCATGACTACCTTGTCTGGAAATATTTTCTCACCAAGCTGGCGGCAGCCCTGCAAGCAGAGTCAGGCCTTTTGATTCTAAGCCCGTCCTCCTGCCGCAGCAGCCCCGGCTTCTCCTCCAGTGGCGGGCCGAGACAGAGTCTGAGCTACCCTGGCTTTTTCACTTCCCCTAACAATGTGGAATGCCTGGGAGTCCGACCAAAGTTCTGACTGCCAAGGAGAGGATGCTGTCCTGCGCGTGAGAGAACCACCTTGCTCTCACGCAGACGCGCCTCGCACCTAATACAAACACTGCCCCGATCAACCTCTAACGGCCTGCTAGGGTGCTGGGTGGAGACCAGATCTAAAAAAAGAGGTGATGGTCCCTGCCCTCCTGCTGGACGTGGTCTCTGAGTCTAATAAATGGGCGAGAAGGTAGCATTTTCAAAGGGCCTTAGTGAAACCAGGCTGGAGCAGGTGCCACCATGATCCAGAAGGCTGGGCAGCTCTGCTGAAACCAGCAGGATGAGCTCCGCAGTGCCCTCAGAGACACATCTCCTCTACACTGCCTCCAAGCCCCCACCAGGCTAAGGATTTGAACCGGGGGTGGGGGGAGCACAACACAAACACTTCTGAGCTCTTGCTTTGGTTTGCAAGAAACAAAGTGCTTCCGCCCTGACACTCTGTTCTGTTTGGGGGAGCAAGCGCGTAAGGACAGACCCCTTGGGCTCCAGGACCTGGTTCTTTCCCTCAGTGTAAATCATGCAGAAGCCAGGGCTGGAGTGATAACACAGCGGGTAGGGCGTTTGCCTTGCACGCGGCCGACCCGGGTTCGATTCCCAGCATCCCATATAGTTCCCTGAACACCGCCAGGAGTAATTCCTGAGTGCAGCACCAGGAGTAAGCCCTGTGCATCACTGGGTGTGACCCAAAAGGAAAAAAGAAAGAAAGAAAGAAAGAAAGAAAGAAAGAAAGAAAGAAAGAAAGGTGAACCCTTAAGGCAGGAACAACGTAGGAATCAGGGGGCTGCATCTGCTCACAGGGACAAAAACACATCAAAAGATGGTCTCGGGGTGGGGGGGGGAGAGCTGCTAATTCTAAAACTACTCCATGTTTTGTCTGTGAATTTCTGCTCAGGAAGCCTATCTCTTCTTTGCGGAAGCAGGGGACCAGCACCCAATTCATATGTGAGAAATGCTGAGGCCTGCCAAGATCCGATACTACCCCAGAGCCCAATGACGATGAGTATCCGGATAAACAAGTATGGTGCCTCCATATAGTGGAGAAGTATTCACCTCTAAGAAATGAAATCTTGGGGGCTGGAGCAATAGCACAGCGGATAGGGTGTTTGCCTTGTACGCGGCCAACCCAGGTTCGAATCCCAGCATCCCACAAGGCCCTCTAAGCACCGCCAGGAGTAATTCCTGAGTGCAGAGCCAGGAGTAACCCTTGTGCATCGCCAGGTGTGACCCAAAAAGCAAAGAAAGAAAGGAAGGAAGGAAGGAAGGAAGGAAGGAAGGAAGGAAGGAAGGAAATCTTGCCTTTTGCTACAGCGTGGTACAACTAGAGAATGTCAAGTAAATGAAGTCAGTCAGAAGGAAAAGGACAAATGTTGGGTGATCTTATTTGCAGTATAAAAAGAAATAAGATGAACAAGGACCAGGAGGATTGGTCCATGGTTGGAAGCCTGCCTCAGGAGCTGGGGGAGAAGGCAGATGGGATAGAGAAGGGATCACTATGGCAAAGACAGTTGGAAATGATCACTCTGCGTAAGAACTGTGAGCTGAAAGTAGGTAAAGGAACTAACATGATAACCTCTCAGTACCTGTACTGCAAACCATAGTGCTGGGAGGGAGGAGGGAGGAGGGAGGAGGGAGGAGAGGGAAAGAGAGAGAGAGAGAGAGAGAGAGAGAGAGAGAGAGAGAGAGAGAGAGAGAGAACGAGCGAGCAAGCACACCATAGAGACAGGCTGTGGGTGGGGGGGAAGACTGGAGGAAACTGGGGTCGGTGGTGGTGGGAAATGTAACACTGGTGGAAAGACAGGTGTTGGAACATTGTATGACTGAAAGCCCATCACTAACGGCTTTGTAACTGTGCATCTCATGGTGATTCAATTTGAAAGAAGAAAGAGGAAGGAACAGTGGCCAATGTAAAGAAATTCTTGGGCTCTGACAGCAGAAAGGAGACACAAAGGGGCTTGGCGGCCCCGGGAAGAGGCTATGACATTAAATTCCAAGTGGACACCACCAAAACTCAACAGATGTGTCACCTTATCACCTTATTGTGACTTAATACACTTTTTTTTTATTAAGGAGTTTTTGGGGGACACACCCAGCTGCACTCCGTGCTCAAGGATCACTCCTGACAGGCTCAGGTTACCATACGGGGTGCTGGGCATTGAACCTGGGCTGGCCCCGTGCAAGGCAAGCGCCCTACCTGCTATACTAGGGCTCTTAACACATATAATTCAAAAGATGTTTCCTTATGTATTCTAAGGACATTCCCTTATGACTCAGCAGTTACAAATATACTCTTCAATGTTTTCCTCTACTTTTTCACAGAGAGAATAACACTTTTACAGGGAAAAACAGCCCTGAGAAATAAAAAAAACACTGCATAAGGTTAAGAGCGGTACATAGTGACAAGCCCTTCTCCCAACTCCTGGTCACTAAGTTCCTCCTCTCAATGGTACAGTACCATCCTGTTTTCTTCCAAAGACAGTCTACACTCGTGTCAATGCTAACACATGTGATCAAGTGTCAAGGTGGCCTGAGAGAGAGAGAGAGCTCAAGGCAGGAGAGACTGGGTGCTATATGGCGAGATTCAACTCATAGCAGGCCCTGAATACAAGAAGTACTTCTTCAGAGAGGGGGTGGGGGCTCTTAAGTGATGCTTAGGCAGCCCAGGGGCAACTCAGAGGTTCCTGGCCAAGCAGGCAGGCGGTTCACTGTGAAAAATCCAAGGATACTATGCAGCCTGGGTCTAGGAGAGCCAGGAATCAGCCAGTCATGCTGACAGTGCTAGGGGCCTGAAAAGCTACCCCAGTGATGCTGAAGCACCACGGGAAACCAGGGATGCAACTGGGGCAGGTACCCGCAAGGCAAGTGCCTAAATTCTTCTACCACCTCTCCATTCCCAGGGGCACTTACAGCATCTTCAAAATGGGGAGGGGGTAGCACAGAGAAGCAGTCCAAGGGTTAAGGCACTCACCTCACATACAACCCACCACTGTTCAATCTCCACCACCACATCTGGTCCCCAGAACACCACCAGGAGCAACCCCTGAGCACAAGCCAGCAGCAGCCCCTGAGCTCCCCTCAGGGTGTGAGGTGTGGCCCCAAAGCAAGCAAACACACCCATCTATATTCAAAGGAACAAAGGAGTCTTCAAGGGTATTTTCAAGGGCAGCTTCTGAAAAAAGAGAGAGAGGTAGAGAGCCTTTGGGGCCTAGCTTCCTTTCCTGGTGTGTGGGGGCCAAGAGGGGCAGGTGAAGGCATACACTGGCTGTGCCCGGGGATCACTTCTGGTGGTGCCTGGGGGGTAATCCCATATGGGGTGCCAGGGACCAAATCTGGGTGGGCTGTGTGCAAGGCCATGTCCCACTTGCTGTATTATCTCTCAGGCCCAGTCTGGCTTCTCCAACCGTGGTTTTCAAGTCCAGGTGGAGTCACTTAAAAGAACAGGGGGGGGGGGGGCGCGAGGGTCATAAAAATGTTGTTTTTTAAATTCTAAAGAGGGGTCACTAATAGAAACGTTTAAGAAGCCCTGCATTAAGAATATGTCAAAATATTCGGCTTTGGAGGTTCACTCCATGGCTTGGAGGCCACCCGCACATGCTAGGGGGAAAGGCAGCTCAGATAGAGAAGGGAGCACCAAATAAAGGGTGTTGGGAGGATCCTCCCAGGATGGGAGAAGCATGCTGAAAGTAGACTAGAGACCAAACATGATTGCCACTCAATGCCTGTCTTGCAAACCACAGCACCCAAAAGGAGAGAGAGAACAAAAGGGAATGCTGTGCCACAGAGGCAGGGTGGGATGGGAGGGATGGGGGGTGGGAGGGATACTGGGATCCGTGGTGGTGGGAAATGGGCACTGGTGGAGGGATGGGTATTTGGTCATTGTATAAACTGAAACCCAAGCACAAAAACTTGTAAGTCTACAACTGTACCTCATGGTGTTTCACTAATAAAAATAAAAAAAATAAATTCTGTTTTGGAGCCCGAGAGTGTACAGGGGGCACCACATCTATGGTCCCCCAAAGCCCTGTCCAGAGTAAGCCCCAA